TGGGGAGAGCAGACTCGTTCCCGTAGTAAGTTTCAAATTGTTGAGCTAGAAACCGTGTGAGGGCGAAAGCAAACAGCCGTCCCCGGATGCGTTCTCGTGCGCCATCCACCTCACCGCCAACGCCATGTCAAGCTTCTTCTCCAGATTGGCCGCCCTTTCCGACTCAAAGAAGGCCGAACGCTAAAATGAAACAAAACCCATCCCTACTCCCCCTGCCCCCCCCCTTCCCCCTCCCTTCTCTCTTTTCCTCGCTTCCACGCGCTCCCTCTTCCCATCTCCCTCCCTCTCTCTCACCTCGTCAGCGGGCGATCCTTCCTGAAGTCATTCAGATGGTCCTCAAGGTTCGCCAGCGACACTTCCTCTGCTCCTGCTGGCTCATACAGGTAGAGGCTCAGCCTCATCGTCCTCAGCACCTCGAACAGCGTCTGCTCATCCGCCGACCGGTTCTTGCAGATCGAGAGGATGTCTCTCCCGATGGGCAGGCGTTCTGGTTGGCTCTCCTCCCCCTCCTCCTCTGCATCGTCGAAGGAGACCATGAGCGACAGGTTTCCTTCCTGCGATATCACCCCCATGTGCGACTTGAAGTCTGCGGTCAGCGACTCGAAGCTCTTCCTCAGCGCGTGGTGTGCAGAAACCTTGCTCGTCCTCGCCCTCGCCTCCTCCCTGTCGCTGTAGAGGTCGCTGTCGTAGTTCCCCCAGTACAGCCCGTCCGCAGTCTGCATGGCGTACAGGCAGCTCCTGACCGCCGGCTCCAGCACCTTGTGGATGTAGACGTGACGGTTCCTGTCGCGGAAAGCGGACTTGGCAAGGATATGGATCTGCTGCACGTGCACGCACATCTCCTTGACAGTCGCCTGGTTCTCCTTCTTGACCCGATGGGTCGCGACGCTCTTGGGGACGGCGAAGTAGAGCTCGAGGAAGGGGAGGAGGCCGCGCGAGAGGTACTGCAGGACGTGAAAGATGCTCTCCTGGTCCTCCAGATCGCTGGCGGAGAAGATGCCGAGGAGGCTGATAGAGGAGCGGAGGTCTTGAACGATGCTCTCCATCAGAGAGGTCCTGGCAGTGCTGAGCTTGACAAACAGGCCGCTGCTGTCGGAGTGCAGCTCCTGCCAAAGTTTCTCCACGTCAGTCTTGAGGTAGACCCAGGTGAGGAAGCGAAGGTGCGCAGCCTTGCTCTTGGACACGCTGATGATCCGTCCCTTGCGCGTGAAGGTGTTGTCAAGGTCCCTCGCCGCGATCATCTCCACCAGCTGCGGGACTGTCATCAGGCTGCACGCATGGATCTGCGGGCTAGGATTCTTGCCCTCGCAGAGAGAGGTGATGAGCTCTAGAGACTCTAGGTAGACGACCTCCGCCTCGTCCTCCTCCAACAAGATGGAGGAAGAGAGCTGGTGCACGGAGGTGGACAGAGCAGTCTGGTCGACCTGCCAGGTCGGTTCGAAGTCCTGGAGGGCGTGGAGGACAGGGAAGTCCTGCGACTGCAGGAGGCGGTTGATGAGGTGCTGGTTCTCCTTCCATGGGACCCCCTGGCAGGTGCAGAGGGAGCGGAGCAGCAGCATCCAGTCAGGAGGAAGCATCCTGTAGCGGGCGATCAGGTCGGAGAACACGCGCTCAATCCACTGCTTGCTCCTCTCCATCATCAGCCAGTAGTGGTTGCCCACCATCGACGCCAGCAACTCCCCAGCTGGGACGTCCTCGATGCTCATGTAGCTCCAGATCAGGCCAGCCCTCTTGCTCATCCGCTCCTGCAGGCTCGGGTCGTTCCGGCACAAGTTGCCGAGCAGGTTGAGGCTGAGCAGGACCACTTCCTTCAGCGATTCGTCCTTGATCCGGTCCAGCTGACCTCCACCTGACTTGGTGGTCTTGGTGAGGGGCAGCTCGAGGAACTCGAGGAGCAGCGCGTCAGCCTCGATGCTCGAGAAGATGCGCTTGCAGTCGTACTCGAGGTCGACGCTGTAGGCGAGGAGGTGGGCGTTCTTGAGGGGGGCGTTCCAGCGCTTGAGGATGCTGATGAACTCATCGCAGACCCTCCTCTCCTCGTCCTGCGTGTTCCTGCCAGACACGGAAGAGAACTCGTGAAGGGAGTTGGAGATCTCGCTCAGCCTGGCGTACTCCTTCTTAATGTTGAAGTATCTCACGGCCACCTGGGGGTCGCAGATGAGGTGAACAGAGGAGAGATGATGGAAGAAGGAGGAGAACTGGCTGTACATCTTGACCAGGATCATGAACGCCTTCTCCTTGATCGCAGGCGCCCTCACCCGCATCAGGTTGAACAGCGCGTGCACGACGTCCGTCCTCGACCTGCATGTCATCCAGTCCAGCTTGCTAAAGCTGAAGTCCTGCAAGATGATTTCGTCCTCGCTGATCTCCTTGAAGAACTCCTTCGTCTCCTCCCCGATCCACGGCGGCTCCTTGCTCCACAGCCCCTCGTCGAGCATGTACCTCCCGATCCCCAGCGAGCTTGTTAGCGACTCTCCCTTCCTCTGACTGAAGCTCATCACCTCCCCGTTGGACTCCTTCCCGCTCCTCCCGCTTCTCGTGCTGGGCGCGGGGGTGTGCATCGTCGCCACCTCCTGCATGATCTCGTCCCACGAGCTGCAGCCCAGGGAGTGGGTGAGGCTCCGCTCCCAGAACTCTACGAACTTGATGACTTTGATGTTGACCTCGTGCTCCACGATGTCCTGCAGCAAGGCCAGCACACAGAGCATCTTTCTCGTCCATGCCTTGCTGAACTTGACCTGCTGCTTGTCTGCCCTCTTGGGGACCTGCCCGAACGACACGTCCTCCTTTCTCAGCCTCTCCCCCACAGTCGTCGGAGTACCGATGCCGGACTCCTGCTGCTCGTTAGTCTCCCTCGTTCGAGAGGACCGAGTATCGCTGTCAACCCGCACGAACACATCCCCGTCTCGCCCTCTCCCGTCTCCCGCCCTGATCACCGACAGGAGCGCGGAGGCGATCGGTTTGATCTCCACACAGTTGAGCTGCTCCTGGCGGTCATGGTAGAACCCGAGCTCGAGCAGCTTCGAGATGGCCTTGAGGATGCTGACCAGGAAGTACTCCTCGTGATCGTTGCTCTTCCCCGACACCGCCGAGGTCGACAGCTCCTCCGCCAGGCACGACTTGAACTCGTCGAGCATGGTCTTGGGCAGGGCCCCTCCCGTGTCCCCCCCCCTCAGGAAGCGCTCGTAGTCTGCGGGCTTGCTAGGGGACCACACGCGGGTTGTGGTGATCCTAGGGATGTAGTGATGAGGGTTCTGGTCCACGTAGAGCGCAACGAAGAGGGAGCAGCATGCGGCGCGGTAGGAGAAGGGCATGGTGCTGTTGTTGACGATGAGGAGGAGCTGGCGGGGCTCGACCCCGAACCTCTCGGCAGATGCGAGGAAGATCTTGAGAACGCTTTCGTTCCTCCCCTCCACCAGCGTCTCCATCAGCTTCAGCACCCGCAGGTGGTAGCAGAACTGCTGGGCCCCCCTGCTGCTCCCCGAGCTCCACTCCGCGTTCCCGGCAGCGAAGATGTTGGACTCTCCCTTCCTCATCAGCATCCTGAGCGAGACAGAGCCCGCAGTGCTGGTGAGATGTATGTCGTTGCCTGTCATCTCAGTCTGGAAAACGAGCTCCGGGGCGTCCACGAAGATCATCTGCGCCCAGCGATTCTGGTTGCGGGGGATGGGGACGCCGGCGCAGGAGCAGGTCTCCATGATGAGGTTGACGGTCACGGAGTTGCGCACCTTCTTCAGCAGCTTCACCTGCTCCTCGAACACCTCGTCCTCTAGGTTCTCCAGCAGCTCCCTGCTGTTGCTGTACACCTGCACCAGCGCCGTGAAAGACCCGACGTCGGCTGGGAGGTGCCTGGACATCTGCGGGACGAAGCTAAGCATGACGGACTTGTTCCTCTGATTCCGGTTGCAGACCGAGTCCACCATGCCGTATAGCCGCCGCATCAGAGCATGCGCTGTTGGATGCTCGGAGGCGAGGGAGGTCAGGGTGACGTCGAAGTTGAGCACCGACTCGTCGAGGATCGACATGACCACGTTGAGTATCCCGATCTCCCGGATGATGTCTTGGTACTCCTGCGTCGTCTTCTCCGACCCCGCAAACTCCTCCTCGAACTTGCACAGCGTGTTCACTATGCTCACTGCGATCTCCAGCTCCTTCTTGAACTCCTCCATGATGCTGTCCAGGCTCGCGCTGCGACAGATGACCTCTTCCACCTGCCCCTCCGCCGCCTCCTCCCCCTGCCCCTCCGCCGCCTCCTCCTGCTGCCGCTGCTGCCGCATCTGCAGCTGGAACTGCCTCTCGTTGAGCTCCCTCGTCGCTCTCTGCAGCGACAGCAGGCAGGTCTTGAAGATCGAGTTGCACAACATCAGTTTCTCCACCGTCTCCGACTTCTCCCTGGTGATTGACTTCACCTCAAGCACGTCTTCGTCTCCCGGCGACTCCCCTTGCTGTGTGCAGACTGCGTTGGGCTCCCCTCCCTTCCCCTTCATCACCGACTTCTTCTGCAGCGACAGCCATGAGACTGTATCACGATTCTCGTGTACGTTCTGCAGCCAAACGACGTCCCCGTCAGCCAGCTCGTCGTCCCCCGACGCTCGCTGCCATGGCCTCACAGTCCACAGCGCCTTCGGGCTCGCGTACTTGACCGTCAGCGACACAAACTTCTTCTCGCACGTCAGGTACTGGCCTGTCAGCACGTGCTGCACCAGCACCAGCTGCCCGGACAGGCTGATTTCCTTCCCACAGAAGTCCGTGGTCTTGGGCTGGATCCTCCACAGGGAGGAAGGGATGGTAAAATCGCTACTTCCCTCAGCCCCTTTCTTCCTGTAACACCACTCCACCCGGTTCGTGGCCGCGTTCACTCCAAGGTAAGAACCGTCCCTCCTCCTGTAGAAGCACACGACGTCGAGCCCGGACACTTGAGCTGTGGCCTCCTCGTTCTCTACCTCCTCTTCATCCTCCGCCAAGGTGGTCTGGAACGTCCTGTAGGGCCGCACCTGGAAGTTGGAGGGGTAGGCGGTCGCGTTTACCTCCAGCCTGCACTCACAGGAGGGGTGTAGCGTGCTGGAGCCATGGTCCTTCGTCTGCAACGCCTCTTCTGTGTAGACGGAGACGGACGAGTCGTAGAACCTCACACTCTCAAGGTAAACCCTGTCCCCCAGAATCACCTGCTCTCCATCTACCTTGATCCCATCGGCCGACTTGATCCTCCACCAAGAGCCCTTCTTGCCCGCATTCAGGCACACCTCCATGGCCAGCCTGTTCAGGTATGCTCGGTTCCTGACCTGCGTAAGAAACAAGTTGCTCTTTGAGTGCTTCAGCTGGATTACGCTCCCGTACAGCACGTCCAACCCGGACTGCCGCGCACAGTCGAGCTCGTTGATCGCGGCCTCGTCCTCCAGCGCCTCGAACGATTCTATGAGAGCCGCATGCTCCTCCTCCTCCGGGTCCAGCTTGACTTTCCAGTTGTCAATGTCTACATTCGTCAACCCGGTAAACCTCAGGTGCTTCTCGCACGCCTTGAACGCCGAGTACTGGTACCGCGGCGTCACCTTGAACACGCAGTGCTGTATGTTATGAACAGTCTTGGAGGGGTCATACTCTGCCTTGACGCGGTCGATGTAGCAATGCTTCGATATGATGGCCTCCCCATGCAGGAACCCCCCGGCGTCCGAGCAGGCCAGAAGGATTTCATCGCCGAACTTGAGCGTGGCCGACATGGCTTCCTTCTGCTTCGAAGCCATCGGATTGTCTTACTTGCGATCAGCGACTAGGGCGAAGCATGCGCCCCAACACTCGTGATCCTTCACCAACTGTGAAAACAAAACATGTGAATAACTTGATTTCTCGGAACCCAACTATCGATGAACAGAGGTGTGCCCTTCATCGGTCAAACAGTGGGCCGGAAATAAGTCACAATAGTACCAGATGATAGAGCATAGGAGCAGGAGAGTTCTTTCTATGGGACAAGGGACACACGTCTTGATTCATGCTCACGAATTCAAATTCTACGAAGTGGACTTCTGTTTTGAGGGACAGGGACCCTTCTACGATAAGCCATGGAGACTATCATAGAAGAGAGGAGAGCAGGTCAGAAATGGTGAGAGCATGGAGTCCCGGAGGAGATAACAAAGAACGCCATAGAATTGGTCGGTCAGAATGGAAGGGACTAGCAAAGGGCGAGCAAAGAGAGGAGGGAGTAAAAGCAAACTGCACTAGGATTGAGGCAAGAGGAAAGACCGCACATGAGCATGAAGCTGGATGAAAGGAGAAGGAAAGGAGAGATACGGGCTGGGGAATGGTGAAGCGAGGAAGACAAGCAACGGTGGGGAAGGGGAACCAAAGGAGAAATTCGATCACAAGAAAGGGGGCCAGGAGGAGGTAGAAGCAACGGAAGAGAGATTGGAAACAGAGAAAGAGGGGAAGAGATGGGTGACAGGAAGGTAGGTAGGTAGGTAGGGAGGGAGGGAGGGAGGAGAGGCGTGTAGCAAGGGGCCATCGGTAAGCTGATTTTTCCTGGCGTGCATAGCAGGAGCGGGGTTGGCCTGCGCTCTGGTCACGGCTATTTCACGGCTATCCAACTACCCGTCCTTTTTAAAGTGTCTATGTGTGGTGGGGGTGGCTTCCTGTTACAGTTATTAGTATTTCGAAATAGATTCTTTTCGAGATCATAAAGTCATCATTGGCTAAAAATATCCTTTCGAATTCGATTTCTGGTACGAAGGTCAAATGGTCAAATGTTGAAAGATAGTTATTTCTCATCGTTTGAGAATGCCCCTGGTACCCCATCTGTACATTCAAATTATTAAAAACCTACCCACTCTTTCAGACCCAAGTACCCACCTTTTTGAGCACCTCAGGATAATCGCAGTCATGACTACCCTCGTCAGTTATTCCCCCACTATTACTCCACTTTTGGGGGGTCTTACCGTCCAGGGTTATGAAATAATCAGGAGGGGTGAAGTTATCAACATGATATCAGGACGGGTACACAAGACAAGCAGGGGGTATAAGTGGTTACCGGTACTGAAATTTTTGGTAGAAAGGAGGGGTGTAGCTTACAGGGTAAGGACAAGCACACGGGACCTGTTCCTGGCTATTACACAACCCTGCTTCGATAGGGGGTGGGGTACATTACTCAGGGATGGGGGTAGTATAGAGTCAATCTCAGTGGGTAGGGGTGGTATACTGGTCACTCCCAAGGGGTAGTACATTGGTCGTACCCTTGAACCCCTGTGAATTGAAGTAAGAGCAGAAAGGGGTACTTTTTGTGCTGAATAGAGGGGGTAGTGAGGATTTGAACGCGTCGAAGGGTGGGGGTAAAGGAGTTAAAAGTTTTTAGATGATGAGGGGGAGGGGGTAGGTGGGGTGGTTCTTCCGGGGTGGTCCCTGCGGAGGGTTATGAGGGCCGACTCTAAAGGGTGATCGGTCGTTTTGAGTAATAATTTCCTGGTAGGCTGAAAAGGCGGGGAAAGTGGAATAAAGGAAAGGATGGGGAAGAGGTTAAAAAAACAAATATTTTTATTGTCTTGCCTCAATTATGTTTTCATTTTTCAAGATTAATGGACAAGTTTGAAATATAAATTCATAAAAGTGATATTTGTTTTTAGTGATCGTCACATTCAAATTTCCCTCCCTGCTCCGACGCTCAAACCTCCGTATCCCCCTTGCCTTCATGTCTGGCTCTTCATCCCTCCCCTTCCTCCTCCCCTCCTCCCCTCCTCCCCTCCTCCTCCAGTTTCTCTCTCTCCTATCCTCCATACTATCGCCTTCCTCTCGTCTTCATCTGTGACTTCCCACCCTCCAGCACTTGCAACCTCTCCTGCCTGTACTCCTGAACTGCAGGCACCTCTATTGATTACCTTTCTCAGCCATGGGAGCGCCTTTCTACTGCCTTGATTGATTTTGTCCCGCAAGCAGGACTATTCCTTGCATATATCGATGTTCTGCCGTGATGATCTTCGCTGCTCATTTCCTTGATGCTCCTTTCCCGCGCATGTGCCCTTGGTGCAGCAAAGTGCTAAACATTGATGAGGAGGTTTCAGAGAGCGAGAAAGCACTGGACAGGAATAAATATTTCTTAGAATTGGAATAGATCATGGGAAACTGGTTTTTGTTGAGAAGATCTTAGAGCAAATACACGTTGTGAATTTGTCCTCAATACACTTTCCGAACACAGACACAAGGATTCAACGATTATGTGATGTGTAGGCTGTACAGTCAAATGAGCCATCGCGATGACATTTAGATACATGAAAATTGGCAGGATAGAAGTATAGCACCAGCCAATAGACTTTACAAATCTGAATACGCTGTCTGTTGAATAATCGGAAAAGCGCTGAGTTTGATGCAGGATGGCGGTAGCTGCAGTGCACCAATCAGAACAGCAAGTTGTACAGGATCAAGTGTCTGAACAAGATTGTGGTCCCATTCCGATCGCACAGCTTGAGGTCTACTTCTATTCTTGACCTCGGCATCAGCTGAAACCTCTGCCAGGGTAGTGGAATCACGCGCAATGATCTTCAGAAGCTTGTCGACGCAGGCTACATGACGGTAGCTTAGTCCCCCCTTGACCGACACGCTCTCAATGCCCCTTGGCAGGTTGAGTCAGTCGCCTACTCGACTTCCAGTGCTCTGCTGAAGATTAAGGGTCTGGGAGAAAGCAAGGTGCAGAAAATGAAGGATGCGGCTGCGAAACTGGTTCCGATGGGCTTCACGACTGCCGCTGAATACCACAAGCAACGACAGGAGATCATTCAAATACACACGGGGAGTAAAGAGTTGGACAAGTTGCTAGGCGGCGGGTTCGAGACGGGCTCAATCACTGAGATGTTTGGAGAATTTAGAACAGGCAAGTCTTCCCTCTCCCTTTGCACATCCACCCTCTCAACTCTCTATGTGCAGGAAAGACCCAGCTATGCCATCAGCTGTGCGTCACCTGCCAGCTCCCCCTGGAGTCAGGAGGGGCGGAGGGAAAGGCTCTCTACATCGACACGGAAGGAACCTTCCGACCTGACAGGCTCATGGCGATCGCCGAACGTTATGGTCTCAATGGCAATGACGTGCTAGACAACGTGGCGTATGCCCGAGCATACAACAGTGAACACCAGACGCAGTTGCTGATGCAGGCTGCCGCCATGATGGCCGAATCTAGATATGCTCTTGTGATCGTGGACAGTGCCACGGCTCTGTACAGGACAGACTATGTGGGACGAGGAGAGCTGGCAGCAAGGCAGCAGCACCTCGCACTTTTCCTGCGTGCTCTGCAGAGGATCGCCGATGAGTTTGGAGTGGCAGTAGTGGTAACCAACCAGGTGATCCTTGCCCCTCCTCCCTGCGCTATTGTGATAGGCTTGAATCAGGTTGTTGCGCAAGTTGACGGCATGTCGTTCAACCCTGACCCCAAGAAGCCGATCGGAGGGAACATCATTGCACATGCGTCAACCACCCGCTTGTGTGAGTGGAAAGAGACAGCCTTTTCTTTGCTGACTATTTACTTTAGACCTGAAGAAAGGAAAGGGTGAAGCCCGTGTCTGCAAGATCTACGACTCGCCGAACTTGCCAGAATCGGAAGCCCAATATGCTATCCGAGAGGATGGCATCGGCGATGTGAAAGAATAGTTCCCACCGAGCTACTTGCTGCTGCTCTTCTGTATTGTAAAGTCTCACCCACCAGAACTCCTCTCCCCTCCTCCTCACCTTCTGTCGCCTGCCTGTATGGGTACAGTACGCGACTCCGTTGACATTCTTGTACCACGCGCTGCAAGCCACCTGCGTCAGACCTGTAGGCCTGCTCCAACTGAGCCTCACCCGGCGTTGAGCACAAGGCCCTGCGATGTCGGCCCCTTGAAGAGGAAGGGAACCTGGAGGATTCAATCAGTCCTCACCTGCTTCCTCCCAGCTCTCACCGTCGTCCACTCCCTGCCATCATGGAAGTCCCCACACCTCTTCACGTGGAAGTGAACGTGGGGCCTCGAGGTGAAGCCAGTCATGCCGATGAAGCCGATGACCTGCCCGTCGGTCAACAGACTTGAAGTCCGCTGACGCCTCGACCGTCACCTGCCCTCTCCTGACCTTGGCTCCCACCCGAGCCGTGACCCCGCCCTTCAGGAAATGAAGGTAGCAGCCAACGGTGTGGTCAGAGTGGAGTATTTGAACTGCAGACAAGGGTAAGTCTCAAGCGACCAGTCGAGCTCTCCTCCTCCCTCACCGAAGTTTGCTGAGCCAGAGTATTTCTTGGACGCTCCTCCTTCATCGCTGAATGCAGAGTGCCGAGGGGGTTGCGGAGTGAGGAATGGGAAACAGAACGAGACAAGGAGGGGAGGCAAAAGAGAGGAGAGGGGAGAGGGGAGAGGAAAGCGATGGGATGGGATGGGATGGGATGGGATGGGATGGGGGAGGGGAGCAGCGGCGAGCCTCCAGAAGGGTTTGGAGTGGAAACATTGCAAGCAGAGAAGACAAAGATCAGAATTTCTGACCTGTCATTCTTGGTGGCGATCACTATCCCCGAGCGGCACGCCCGAACCTCCAGGGCATGTCAGGACGGATGAAGACGGCCAGCGGAACCCGACCTGGTGACCCACAGGCATGTCGAAGTCAACGCTGTTGTGGAGCTGCCCCCGGTGGGAGTACTTGCCCCCTGCCAAGGTCCACGGGGTGAGCAGGGCAAGCATCAAGGGGGGGAGGGAAGGATGACCGAACGACTGACAGACATGGCGAGCTGCTCCGTTGAAAGGGAGGGAATATCGAATGCCCTTTGACTGAACAGCATCCGGATCACCCAGCCCGAAACTCCAGCTCTCGGAGATGAACTCTGCGTCCTGGAAGCAGCTCTCTCTCATCAGCAGGTGCGCGATGGTGGAGGCGGCAAGCTACCTGCACATTCTCGATGGGAAGCGAGGCAATGATGAAGTCGTTCACGTTGGCGGGTGCAACCTTGCGGAACGTTCCCAGGCACACTTGTGATCTGACGTCTAACACCTCCAGTTTCACGTGGATCGGGGTGTATTTGTCGTTGCTCAGCAGGAATTTGACAAGCAAGCTGCTGCTCGCCACCTTCTCGCCGGATGTGGAAGAGCAGGAAGACGATTTCGAGGAGAGGGAGCTTGACCGCCTGGATCCTGAAGCAACCTTGGTTGTTCTCTGACTTTCTGTCCTCGCCGGCAAGGGGGCAGAACACCAGGAGTACCATCGGCGCATGCTCACATTCGACTCGTCTGAACTGTTCGAGCCGGTGAGCCCATCTGCCCGTCGTCGAGCCGGAGCTTGCTCAGCAACAGGGGCAGATGGAACTTCCATGCTGTGCCCATCCTCGCAAACCGCCTCATCAGCTCCTGAACACTCCAACTCTCCTCCTTCACTTGCTGGCTGCTCGGTGAAGTTGTGTTCCTCCTCGTCTAACGGCATGCCCCCGTCTTCAGTCTCGGATGAATGCGGAGCGCATCCTTCTTCTCGTGCCGAAGCATCGTCCCCAATGCAGTCCTCCGCGTCCGACCCTTCTTCACTCCAAATTCCCACATCACAGCAGTCCGTGGAGTCCGAGTCGACGTCCGCCATCGCATCTTCCCCTACCTTGTCGTTTTGCAGGTACGAGGACATGTCCATTGTTGAAGCTCGCCGCTCAGTCACTTCCAGTGGAAAGTGAATCTCCAAAACAAGTCCTCACGCTCCCTGCACCAACGGCCCTTACGAGCGTATCGCTACAAGCATGATGTACAAATGACCATCCCACAAAATGTGCATTCCTGTGCTCGCCATCACGAACTGAAATCCTTTCCTTGTGAATGCTGTCTATTATCATCTGGCATGCAAAACCATGGTCCCTTCTCCTTCTCTCGGACTCACTGCTCACGCACTCGCCCATTCTCTACCTCCCTTCTCCTCCATCCTCTCTCCTCCTCACCCAGCCCCTCCCCTGCTGCCCCCTGCTGCCCCCTGCTGTCCCCTGCTGTCCCCTGCTGTCCCCTACTCTGCTCTGCTCTGCCCTACTCTGCTCTGCTCTGCTCTGATCTGCCCTGCTCTGCCCTGCTCTGCCCTGCTCTGCCCTGCTCGCCCTGCTCTCCCCTGCTCCCACCTGCTCTCCCCTCCGCTTCCCCACCGTACCTGCGACCATGGCAAGAACAACCGCCTCCCACATCCTCAGGGGTACCTTCGATTCCCTCACCCTACCCCTTCTCAAAATGCAGAGAACCCCTACCTACCCTGTGCCCTCTTCAACGACCTACCACCCCCTTCCAGACCACCCCCCCTTTTCCTCCACCACCCTGACAAAAGTCAGGTCCGAACTCTTTATTGACTGAAAAAGAAGGGCAAACCGGAGCAAACAAAGGAGGGGGAGGATAGAACCTACAAACCCGCCTCAATAAAATACTAGGAAACGAAGGAGGCAGCGAAAACCGGCACTCCAACCATGTCCGAACTGATCCGCAAGTAACTAAACCCCCCGAAAACCTAAACCTGGTGATCTCCGAATGTCGCCGCTACGACGCTGCAAGGACATGGAGTTGCGAGTTGAGCTCGTGCAGGACCTGCAGAGGACGAGCTCATGTCGGACCACCTGAGACATCTTCCACACTATGAGACCCGCGGCAGAGGACCACGAGGGCTCGGCCCGAGAGCAGGTAGACGGCAGCTAAAAATTAGGCGGTTGGACGCAATGGCCGAACATAGGGCGGCGATCTCGCCGGATTCTCTTGGCATGGAGCAGCTGCATAAAGCGAGGGAACGGGGATCGTGTGCATGAAGAGTGTTGGGGGGAGGAGGATGAGGGAGAACGCAAGTCACATAGCTAAACACATTCTGGTCATCATTATGAGGGACAAGAGAAATCGATGGACGCTGCCATTTGATTCGAAACTTTCTTGAGCAAGCTTCACCGCACCTAACTTAGCAAAGTCTACTTGACAACTTCCTGCCCGTGAGTTCCCACGGATGCATTTTCTGCACTGACAGTACCCAAGTGGTGGCGCTCGCATCAGCGCTGCAGAAAAGCACCTGAGCGCATGTAACATCGAGGATCTTCAACACCCTTCGAGTGAAAACCTCCTCTGACAGATCGGAGATGATCTCGGCCCTTCATTCTTGGTTCGGCTGCAACACAAGCCTCTCAGTCCCTCTCTCCTTTTGAAGCGCATCCTCCACTCTGAAGCTACTCTACGGGGAACACGGGACGAGGACGAGGTCGTGACCTTGTGCCGTCAACGCCTTGCTCAGTCGGCTTCTCTCATTCAGTAACGCTGGTCCTCCCGTGTAGACCTTGCCGTCGGCACGAGCTGGGCCCCGAAACTTGAACGCCATGTCTCTTCAGCTGGTCTGTCGAGCGGAGGTAAAAACGTTGCGCGCACCATGAAAATGCGTTTCCTCCCCTGTGCGCAGAGGAATGAGGTTACAGAAGCACGATCTGATGATGTCGCCTTGTGCACTCGCCTGCTGCCCATTGGTAACGGATCTGACGATTGTGCTGGTGTCCCTCCTGCCGCGCTGCTGCCTTCCAGCAATGGGAGGCAAACTTATCCAGAATCCGCTCACGCAGAGACCAGCTTATGATGATGATAAGACCCCCGAACGACTCCAGAGTATTCCCGTCACGCTTGAAAGCATCGACTGCTATGACATTGCGCGAAAACCCCGACAGCCCTCCGAGGGTTTGCCACAGTACCCGTATAGCGGGCAAGGGCTCCTCGATCATGAAATACATTCCACATACCGCCATAGTATTCCGATCGAGCCAGCTTGGATTGTGACTGGTGGACAAAGTCTGCACCAGTCGCTCTGTCATGTACATGTCGGAATCCGTTGGCATCAGTGTGATGATGGTTTCTTGGCTGAATCCCCGACGGGAGGGTTGCACTCTCAGGCATTCAGAGGAGCGAACCCTCTTCAGAGCTGCTTCTGCGACATCCCATCATGTGCTGCGAGCTGAAAGATACAGTAGAGAGTTGAGTCTTTCAAACAAAGCTTGCACTGTCGTACTGTCTTAAATCAAGATACCGGCAGCGGCTCATCGGAACAGAGATCAATGCGTCCGGTCGCTGATCGACTCTTCAAGGAGCCCATGTCCATGCCTCTGAATATAGCTCAAATGAACCCTGTTTCTACGTCGAAGATAAAACACACGATGGATGAGCTCTGTGACTCATTATTCACCTCCTCCCGTCGGACCACAACGGTCTCGCGATCTCCTAGACTACTTACCCATCAATGCCTCCTTTCGCCCATCTGGCATCGGTGGGCATCCAACGTGGCAGTACACTCAGCCGATGTCACTCGACGGAATCCTGGCTGAGCCGCAAGTATCCCCGGGATGACCGAGTCGGCGGGCCGGCCTAGTAAGTGACCGTCACTACACGGTCCACGCCGGGTACCGGCTGTGACATTCCAGCCGATAGTATCAACCGAACCGTGTTGAACACTGGCAGTGACACTGTCACAGGCTTGTCGACGGTCTACCGTACACTGACAGCGGTCACTACTAAGCGGCGGCACTGCGGCATGCCTGCGGGCACTGAAGCAGCTCGGCCGGCCCGCGCCGCCGGCTCGTACCGTCGTGACGGTCGGCGGGTCGAAGCGGCTATGTCGGATCAGCCGGCCCGGGCGGGCCCGCTGGGCCCCCCGCGCTGGGCCCGCCCCCACTGTGGCCGGCCGGGCCGCCGCCCGGCCCACTGGTAGTACCCGGTAGTACGGCGCCGCCCCGCCCGCGGGCCCCCCCGGGCCATCCGGCGATCCCGGGCGGCGGGGGCCCGCCGCCGCGGGGCCGTGCGGGCCGCCGGGGCATCGGGGGGGGGCGGCGGGCTCCGCCTCGGCAGTCACGGGCCGCCCGGCGGCCCGGGGCCGGCGGGAGTCGGGCCGCCCGGCCCCGGTGACCCGGCCGGGTCGGCCCCCCGGATGATGATGGGCCCGGGCCCGCGGCATGCTACGGCAGTGACTCAGTCAAACGGTCAGTGCCGTCCGAGCTGACTCGATATTGAAAGTCCCGTTGCTATCTCCGACCACTTTGCTAAGTTGGCATCACTAGCCACTAGCCAACTTGATCACAGCGGCTATCGGCCTGTGATACGCCGCCGGTCAGAGTCCGGCGATCCGGCGTCGCCGCGGCGTTGTGGCAGTTATTCATGTGTAACTGTCATGACTTTTGATCAACAGGACCCACCCTCAAGTTTGCTACACTATGACAAGTTATATACTTGTCCTCTACCCCCTACATCCCTATGTTATGTACCCCCGCACCCTACTTTCCCAACCCTCCCCACCCCCCAACCCCATCGATAATGATGAGACGTCACTTGTACAACCCCTTCTATCACCCCACCCATCTTTCCCCTTCAGTCCCTCCCTCACCCTAGTGACCACCCGTAGGTAGATTGAGTAGATGACAGAGTACCGGGTCTTCTCTCAACCATGAATAGTCATAAGTACGGGTACTTCCCTGCTCATAGAGGTGTGAGAGGGTCATTCACTGAAATGAAGCTTTGATTGAAACGGATGGTAGGGTGCTCTTCACAAGGGGGGGTGATAAACCCGATCTCACCACCAGGGGGGTAGGATAGCAGGATGAAAATGTTTTAGGGGGTACTGAGAAGCATGAAGGTAGGGGTAGGGTACCTACTTTGTATCTGAGATAGGGTAGGTGTTGAAGGGACTCAAGAAGGGTAGGGTATGGATTTCAAGGGGGTACTACAATTCAGTCACATACCACCCCAAGTATTTTCGACAAAATGGGGGGTAGCGCTTGGGCAAGGGTCGGGGTAGTACGATTGATGGGGTACAGGTAGTCCTTGCTATATGTAAGGGTGGGTACTCTAAAGTACAAATCAACGAATTACAAGGGGTAGACGTTTCACGAAGGGGGTAGGGACGAGTTATGACGAGATTCGGGGGGTTAATTAGGGGAGGGGGGGGGAGTACCTGTCGACCCCCCGCCATGGCACGCCGAGCGGCTGTTGCGTCTGCGCTCCTCCTCCTCGCCCCCGCCACCGAGGCCTTCGCCCCCTCTGCGGGCGTTGCTGCTCGTCTCGGCCTCAGGAGCAATGCTGCTGTTAGCCGCAGAGCCACCGTCGTTGCCCCCCGTATGGCCATGGACGTGAACCACATTGCTGAGAGTGCCCAGTCCCTCCTGGCTGCTGTGCCCAACGTTCCCTTCGTCGACGAGGTTACTGGCGAGGCCCAGGGCTTCACTGCTCCCAAGAACCACTTCGCCTCGGTGAGCTGACGTTTTTTGATGTCTCATGACCTGGTTGGGGTTTGGGTGTGGTGCAACACGTCACTACTCAATGCCAGTTGATCACAAAGATCTGATAATATCCTTACCGAGATTATCATCAAGACTGATTTTCAGCGCTCTAACCTCTGATTCATTAGGTGATTGGTCTCTGGGCTCTCTTTGCCCTTCCCGTCTGGTCTGCTGCCTACAAGCAGGCTGGATGTGACACCCCTTCCTGGTTCGGTGTCTCCCAGGTTTCCGAGGATGCCCCTGGAATTGGCCTCGTCGCCAAGGCTGCCCCTGTTTACGATGGTCCTTCCTTCCGTGAGGTGATTTGAACATTTTGATCGCTGATGCTATCTTCGGCCTACTGCATCTGATGACGTGTTTGTCTTTGAGAAAAACGTGTAATCTGAGCTGCAGGGACTCGAGTATGTCCTTTCCTTCTTGTGGAAGCCCCCTATCCTCATCGCCTGGAGACCCCGTGCCGATCTTGACCGTGAGAACATGGACCCGGCCCGTGACACCGTTGTCTCCTCCCTCTACAAGTCCCTCGGTGGAGCCCTCGATAAGACTGCTATCTACGATGAGGAGGACCAGCTCCTTATTCTTTCTGACATGTGAGTTGCATTGCTATTCTATTGTTCTGCTTCCTTTCCTTGGCCTCTTTCCTGCCCCATCCTGCTCCGATCTTCTCATGATTCTGATCCTGTCCATCAGCGAGGAGTTCCCCTCTACTCCTCTCGGTGAGCGCCGCTTCGCTATCGCCGAGGCGGCTGGCTGGATGACTGGCAACCCCTCCTTTGGCAAGGTGATCACATTGCAGCGTTACTTCGAGAGCGTTGCTAACTGACGTCTGCAGTCCCTCATCGAATTCTCCGAGGAGACCAGGAAGGGCAAGAAGCAGGCCGGCACTGTTACCATCTCTGCTGAGGAGCTCCAGAGACTTCGTGCTGAGGCTGCCAAGATGAAGTAAATGATCTAGATATATTATTGAGGCATATGCTGTCAGAATTGTGAAAATAAAATGAAATTCTGTGTTGAGCATAAGCTTTGTGTGGGGTGTGGTGATCTGAAGGAACAGGTAATGGCTCATTTACATTACATAAAGTTACATGTTAATGCTGTTATCTGTAGGCTGCGGTCTCCTTCTGTTTGAAACTTTCCACTTCCAGCTTGTTCTTCTGGCAGTACTTCTGCAGTTCCTCCAGCCGCAATCTGTGCGATGTTAACCTCTTCATGTCTCACCAAGGTATGATAACCTGAGTGACGACATTGGTTCCCATACCCCGATCTGACACCGAAGTCAGGATTTGTTGCGAGCTGAGAAAAATTCTTACCTGTGTGTCGACAATCATTCCAGAGCAGAAGCTGAAGAAGTCAGTCTTGTCCGATTGCTTCACCATCTTCTGTTCCATCGCCTGCACGGCAAGTAAGGCAAGAGCTCAATGCTGGACATGAAATGGTCATGGGAAAACCTTGCATCGCGACATCGCCTTCTCGATGTCAGACTTGAGGGAGCGGACACTTTCTTTGAGCGCAATGACCTGGTCGAGCTCCCTAAGGAGCAGCAGAAGGTATTAGTCGCTGCCATATCAGCAGTGAGAGGAGGTCAGACTCACGATGTGTGAACGCCCTGCTCGTTCGAGTTCCTTCCCTTCACGAAGACGTTTCTTCTTCTCTGTGGAGACTTTGCCTCCGTCCTCGCCTCCGGGTTCCCGATCTTCAACCTCGTCGCGTCAGTTGCTGTCTTTGGCCGCACGAGCCTCGCCGGGCTGAACTTGGACTGCCTGGCGCGAGGACGAGGCTCCTCCGTCCTCAAGGCGCTCGACGAATTGAGCGACCTCTGCGACCTCGGGGAGACTACGGCGAGGGTGACGATGGGTATGCTCTCAGTCCCCTTGAGGGAGGGTTTCCGACGGTTCAGTGCCCTCCACATGCTTGCCCTGACATGTCCGAGTAGCACAGCATCCGACGCCGTCTTAGGACGAGCAGGCTTTAGTCTGTCTGAGCTCAACCCTCTCCAGGAGTCAGGGCTTCTGGGGTTGAAATCTTCGCTCCTCCTGCGAACAGAAGTTCAGTGAGTAGCTGGGAACGAGGTCGGAAGACGGGACCTCGGCTGGGCCGACCAGATCCTCTTGGGTTGTCCCCTCTGAGATACGTACAAGTTGTCTGGGAAGGGAGTGGGATAAGAAGGAAGGGGAAAGCTCATTGCAGACGACCTTTATTTCCCTTGAGGGTTCCTTCTTGAGCGATGACCAATTGTGGGCTGTCCTTGGACCTGCACAGCTCATGCCCATCACTTTGACATGGCAACACGCAGTTGTTCCTTTCGATCCTTCACGTCATCCTCTTCCTCCCTACAAATTTCCCGCTTCTCCCTGTTCCTGCCCTCGCCCTCTCATGCATTCAACTTTTCTCCCTCGTCTCCTCTCACTTTCTCACTGCCTCTTCCTCCTGCTCTTGTTCTTACCTGGCGATAATCTGGTCGGCGGCGGCTCTGATCTCAGCAAGAGCAGATTGTCCGCGCTTTGTTGTGATCTGAAGAGAGCGATCAGGGTTGAAGTCTCGCTGACTTCCTCCATCATATACCTGCATCAGCACCGCGCTGATGGGGATCGATGGGACAAAACTGACCTCACTCGTACAGATACCTGGGCATTTCAGAAGCGAGTCAGACATGGAGTCTCGACCCATTCCTGCGATTTCGAGGTATCTACTTATCCCTCCTAGAGTCAATATCTGCATCTCTCCTTCCTTCCTTCTTATAATTCAGTCAGTCAGTCAGTCAGTCAGTCAGTCAGTCAGTCAGTCAGTCAGTCAGTCAGTCAGTCAGTCAGTCAGTCAGTCAGTCAGTCAGTCAGTCAGTCAGGCAGTCAGGCAGTCAGTCAGTCAAACAGTCAGTCGGATTCTGCATTTCTCCCGCCCACCCTACCCTTTCCTAGTGTTTACTTTCCTTTTAAAACCATTTTTTCTCCAAGGAGGCACGACAATAAGGGGGTAGGGGTTGTTTGATATGAGGGGTACTTGCAGAGTTCCACAGGTCAATTAGGGGGGTCAGCTGCCGGTACGAATGTGTCAATTTTCATAGCCTCCGGTGGGGTGGTATTATAGTGACTACTTATATAAACCATGATGGGGGTGGCACAAGAAAAGATAAAAGGTTTTCAAGGAAAATTTAAAACTTTAAAATATAATTTATCTTTACTCACTTAGATAATACTGTAGGTCACATTTGATTCGGTAGCAAATTGAGTACCATTATTGAACAGTCAAATGTTCCTCATGGTACTGAATTCCGAAGGCTAAAATGAAGCAGGTCAAGTCTACCTTGTCAACGGTCGGATCAAATCTTGAAAGTCACCGTACCATCCGATCACGGTACGGTAGTCCGGCCGCCCGGCGGGCCCGAACTCACTGGGCCAGGCCCGCCGCCGTCGGCCCGGGGCTGCTACTGAGTTCCGAGCGAGATCGAGTCATCCACTCAGGGAAACTTGATCAGGATCCGAATGCGGAGGCTTTCACTGTCCGCCGCCCTCACTTGAAGTTCAGTGGCCCTTCCGGCCCCAGCAATGATGATCGGCGGGCGGCAGCCAGGCTCAGCCACGGTGTTGTATGTGGTAATACTACTATTACACGGCAGTCACTGAATGATTGGTGCGGCGCCCGGCCGCCACCCGCCCCGTCCCGGCCCGGGTGGCCGGGCCGCCGGGCCCCGGGGGTCGGCGAGTCACTCGGCGCGGGGGACTGAGGCGGAACGCACCGTCACCCGTGACCGTCTGCCTCGGCTAAAGTTACATGGAGCAGGGGATAAGGCAGACGTCCTGCCCCTCCTTGAGCATGTCGACGTTTTGAAAGTCCGGGTTCAAGTTCAAGATGCTCTGACGGATCTTCGCGTCAGGCCCAGCAGGGTGGCCGAAGGCGAGGAGCTAGCTCACCTTGGTTGTTGTCTGAAACCTCGCAGCGACGCTGAAGATCGACTCTCCCTCCTTGAGCTGACAGGCACATGTTAGCCGAGCACATGGAAGGTAAGGCTGAGCGAGAGTTGGAGATGAGGGAAAGAAGGGAGCGAAGGAGGGAGAAGAAGAGGAGGAGGACTAGGCCACAGATGAGCGCGAGGGTCCAGCAACGAGTCAGGTGGCGGATCACCTGATAGATCGGTCCGATGTTGAGCAGAGCTTGCAGCCCTTGAGTCGAGAGGACATCAGGATCTTCAAGAGACTGTCGCACGTCAAAAGTGAGTCGTTTTCCTCAACCTCCTGTGCCTCGTCCTTTGCTCTTCTCTCACTTCCTCCTTCTTTCCACTCCTTGCCCTCCTCCTCCTCCTCCTTCTCCTTTTCCTCCTCCTCCTGCAAAGAGGACCGTTGTTAGCTCGTCGTTGTCGTCTATTGCGTTGGCTGCAAACAGTCGGAGCCAGTTCGTTTCAGCTGAGAACCTCTTCATCTGCAATGGCAGGATCGTCAAGATCGAGGAGGAGAGTTCAAGTGCGAGGAGGAGGAGGAGGAGGAGGAGGAGGAGGTGGTGGTGGTGGTGGAGGAGGAGGAGGTGGTGGTGCTGGAGGAGGAGGAGGAGGAGGAGGAGGAGGAGAAGGAGGAGGAGGAGGAGGGGGCACCTGGAGGAGCATAGTCTCGTGTTCGCTGGTACAGTACTTGCACTTCCTGACCTGTGGAGAATGTAACCGTCTCAAGTCTCCAGCATGGCATGTCGACCTTGATGTCCAGGCACTGGTACGATGAGTACTGCATGCCGGCTATGTCCCTGACAGCCCCTCCCCGCATCCCGTACCCTCTTGCTGATCCTACAAGGCAGACGCGGAAGGTTGAACCCTCTTGACCTCTGACGGGCCCGAAGGTCAGCTCAGACACGCTTGTCACGCCTACTTGGAGCGCCGACAGGGCCCACTGAGGAGAGAGCTGCGTGTCCGGGGACAGCGCTATGACGGATGTGTAGTTCCCCCCGGACAAGGTGAAAGTCCAGGAGCTCTTGCAACCCACGTGCGCAAAGTACGGAGTCCCCAGCTCAGTACCAGCAAGGGGCGGCAGCCATTGGAGGGAGGAGGGGACGACGTCGAGGTCGATGCAGTAGGGCAGGCTGTAGTAGCCTGCTGACGTGGCGAGCGGGGACTCAGGGCTGAAGAGGAAGTTGAGATGCTGGGAGCACATGGTGGAATCGTCTCGGGCGACGAAGCAAACGCTTGAGACCGCAGTCAGCGTCTCCTCCCCTTCGAGCCCTCCAGCCCTACCGGATTCTCTTTCCCGCTTCCTCCTCGGCTGGTGTCCACTGCGAAGATTGAGTCGGGCATAATGATGAGGAGGAGAGAAGAAGGAGCGAAGGAGGAGAGAAGGAGGAGAGAAGAAGGAGAGATGGAGAAGGGAAGGAGGAGGGAGGGAGAAGGGAAGGAGGATTGCTCCGATTGAGTCGAGGGATTTGCAGAAGGAGGAAGAGAGGCAGGAAGAGAATTTTCACCTGCAATCTTCTGAAGCCCTCAGAGCACTGCGAGTCCATGAGCTGGTTGTTGAGACGGTTGTTTGGCACGTTGATATGTGGGACGCACTGAAGAGGATCGATGCGCAGGTCTGGCAGCCCGGGGTCCTCTAGCGATAGGATGGAGACGACATTCTGGACGTAGCAGCGTGAGGGAGGAGGAGGCAGGTGCTGGGAAGGAGCTTACCTCAGGGTTTGGATCCCTTGCCCGGATGGTGAGATTGAGATCCTAAATGGCGGTCGGTGATCAGAACTCACAGCCAGGAAGGTGAAAGAGTGAGTGAGTGAGTGAGTGAGTGAGTGAGTGAGTGAGTGAGTGAGTGAGTGAGTGAGTGAGTGAGTGAGTGAGTGAGTGAGTGAGTGAGTGAGTGAGTGAGTGAGTGAGTGAGTGAGTGAGTGAGGGAGGGAGGGAGGGAGGGAGGGAGGGGAGGGAGGGGAGGGAGGGGA